TCCGAATCTGACACGTCTCTGTGGATTGGCCTTGTGTTTATGCCACTGCTATTTAATGATTAACAGACCCTGTCTTTATTGTGATAGGCCACAAACTGGGCTTTTGTTGTGCTGACAGGCTCACTTATCTCTCAGTGAGTGATCAGAGGCAAGTGTAACGGATGTTGAGTTTCAATCTGGAGTTTGCGACTATCAATACAATCCGCTCTTTATGTTGGACTAAGGCATGTTGCAGAACGCATCCGAAAGCAACATTTAATTACCCATCCATTAAGACCTGTCACACCAAGAAAGATAATGATACGTACAGTATATTAGACTCCACACCAATGGATAACAACATTGTTTATTATAAGCGCACAGCAGTTTTGTCAAATGCCGCTTTAAATGCTCAAGCTCAGCCACACACACGCACATGCACACAAACACACATTTCTCAATCGAAAAACATAATGTTTTGAAATGACAAAAGTGAGTGATATATACTAATAACATATTATATAATCTAATGTAATAATTTAGATGGTAGCAAGCATTGCAAATCATTTTCAAAGCTATCACCTGGAAATGATGACGGTTAGTGTGGTCAGCAAAGGGTAAGATCTGGATAGGCAGAACAGGTTGATGGACATGTCACCTCCTTCTCCTTCTGTCATCCATCAAGCACTGAAAAGTTCTCCCTGCATATTTTTTTTTTTGTCTTAAACTCAAGGCAATAAATCAAAGAATTAACTTTGTGCACGTATAAATATGTGCGGTGTGGGAATAACTGCTGATCTGTCACAGGAGCTCAATGACAAGAATGACTTTGTGGGAGGTAAAGGAAGGACACATTCAAAATATTGCAGCAGAACAGTCTGGGATTTTGTGTCAGGCTCTCACACAAATCTCCTGAATGGCCTCCACAAATACGAAGAAGGGGAGCTGGAGGGGGGTTGTGAAAGAAAAAAACAACAACTGAGAATACCTAATATCTCTCCATGGACACGCCACAGCCTTGTTCGGTTATCTCTCTATTCATCCGTGCATTATTTTTGGAGAAAATTGCAAATTAAGTTAGACCTTGTGCCAGAACTGCAGTCAACAGCATTGAAAATACCTTTTGATTTGTAGGTGACCTCATCTCCCAATTGATTTTATTGTATTGTTAGCTTTAGAAAAAGGTCCCCATGGTTACATTTTATTTTCATGGATCACTTTAGACATTCTACAAACTATAAATAACTTAGAAACTACATTATTTGTTATTCAATTCAGTGGTTGCACGGTAATTTGATTATGAATATTTTCGCGGGGGATGGTACACTTTGAGTTCAAGGGGTTAATGAATTCTTGCAAAAGTATTAAAATCTTACTGACCCCAAACTTTTGATCGGTAATGTGTGTGGGAAGAGGTGAATCTTATAGAATAGTGAAATTGCTCACAGTAACCATCTTTTTGCTTACACACTCAACTTATTTCTCACCAGAGATGGATCCCATGAGCTCCACTGACTTGCTCATTTGCATAAAGTTACATTTTTCTGAACTTTGTTGTGTCGTTGAACATGATCACTGGCGCTGTCGCTCATGTCCTTAGAAATAAACTCTCGTTACAAAAAAGAACTTCAAAACAAAGCTGCATTTTTCCCTATATTTCCATTCAAGTCATTTCTTAGCAGTGTCACATGGGTCATTTTCCAACTCTTGGGCTCATTAGACGAAACAGCCTCCTCTGTACAAGACAGTGATCATCTCCACTGTCACTGTGCAATCTGTCATTTAGCTGGCTAGTGGTTAGTCTTTGCCCAATCCATCAGGCAATGTGTGCACTCCAATGTCAGCTGGACTCTGAAAAACGAGACTCGCTGCTCACAGGGTTGTTTATGCGGCGCTGCTGGAATCATCGGTCTTGTGTGCCGTAGCTGGCTTTTGTTAGCCTTAAACTGTTTATGCTCGCATTGACATGCTGTATTAGTCATTTGAAATGTATGAAAGAAGGTGCTGAGAGAACAGAGAACTAAAAAGAATTAATTCATGGCAGAGACATGAACATATTCAACACTCGCATTTGATGGACTGATAATAAGCCTTAGACGTGAAACTGGCCGGCCCAGAAGTAATGAAAGACTTAACAAAAGTATTTGTTAAAATAGTCCAAGTGACTACAGTGGCTCAATCTTAAAGGACAAGTTTGGTATTTTACAAATAAAGCCCTGTTTTAAGATCGTTTTTGATGAAATTGAATGGCTAAGATTGTCTTTTAGACAAATGCTGCAGTCACGAGAATTTTTGGATTCTGTGGTAGCACCCCCACATCTTCACAATGGTAGCATAGGTGCACAGGAACAATCCTTCATAAAACACATAATACAAAGACGTGAAACTCATCGAGTGGTCTGGGGTGTTCACTGATATGCTCACACAAAAATCGCTGCAAAAGATGCTTTCCAACAGGTGTTTTACCATTCGTTGCAAAACTGTTGACCTATTTTTCCGAACACCTCACAACCGTACATTCTTCTGTTGAGAGCTTGAATAATACACACTCCAGCCCAGTTGGTGGCGATAATGCACCTTTGCCAATTTCAAGCAAACCACTTGTATAGTGTAGCCTACGATACCGTGACTGCATGAGACTACAGAAAGAATACAAACAACCCCATTTCCGTTTCCGGCGGTGAAGTAGCCTAATACCGTACAACACAGAACATACAATATAAGTCAATGGAGTTGTACAAAAACTACGATAAAACCTGTTGGAAACATCTTTGCAGCGATTTTTGTGTGAGCATATCAACACCCCAGACCACTCGGTGAGTTTCACATCTTTGTAAACTAAAGTTTTATGCGTTTTATGAAGGATTGTTCCTGTGAACCTATGCTACCATTGTGTTCTCGGGACAGCAGCATCTGTCTAAAAAACAATCTTAACCATTCTATTTCATCAGAAACGATCTTAAAACAGGGCTTTAATTGTAAAATACTGAACTTGTCCTTTAAGTTTATGAAGCAACAAGATTATTCAATTATCCATTTCTGTCTCTGTGGGCCATGAGATTTCACGTAGTGAAACTAGCTCTCAGATTTAATCAAAAATATCTTAATATGTGTTCCGAAGATAAACGAAAGTCTTACAGGGTTGGAACAACATGAGGGTCAATAATTACTGACAGAATTTTCATTCTGGGGTCAACTATCCCTTTAATACAAGTCAATGGTATAACTGTAGCAATGGTAATGGCTTTTTGGGAAGGGTAAAGATAAAGGTCAAGGGAATAGTTTGTGCTCACCTAGGCAGCACTCAAATCTCATTGCTGTTTGTGTTTATTCAAATAAGATGCAACAAGACATGCTTTCACAGCAGGTTTTGTATTCATTACAGCAAATAACAGCCTTTAACACAAATAACTTATTTTTTGTTCCAGATAAGAAAAAAAGTCTGAGTTAATTCAAACAGTTTTTTGCTCCATCAATACGTTGAGAGTTCAGCAAGACTAACCCAAAATCTACAAGTTAACTGGGTTTGTATTCTGCCAAATATAATCTATTTCTTTTTAGATAAGAAATCATCTGATAAATGCAGTTTTGACATGGTCTTGTATGTATGTAATTGCTGCCCTCAAGTGGCCCTTTTGTGTAATGACTTAAAAAACAGTAACCTTTAGCTTGCCAGTCAAAAAATTTGAACATGTTATTAGTTCAATCTGATTGAACTTCAGCTCTTCTGACTCAAATGGCAAGGCTTTTAGAATAAGTCTACAAAATAAGCAGTTTGTTAGTTTGGCTGCTAGTTCTGTCAATAACGAGAGACATGTCTCACATCATGTGAATGATGGGGCGGAGAGGAACAGAATCTGACAAAGTTCCCCCGACTGGATGAGATCAAGAGACACAACTGAGTCATGTCTGCCTCGAGGGAGCGCTGAGCTCCTTCCTGTTCCTTGTTCCCCCATCTTACTGGAATCAACTCCCTCTATCAGTCCTAAGGGGGGAGAGCCTCCTGAGACAGACTATCACTTCCCCTTTTCTGCTAGAATATGTTCTCTATTAAATACATTGCTATTTTTAAGACACTATTTCTAATTTGCAAATCTCAAATGGTTAAAAAAAGGTCATTTAATTGCCCTGCCATGGCCTAAGGAAACTGGGACCCCTATGACCCTAAGGTCGTATAAGGAATAAAGAGAATGAGTAGATCTGTTTTGCTGTTGAACTGAATAAAGGGTCTTTAAAGTCAAATTTTCATTTGCTTATAATAAGACTTCTTTGCAAAGATGCACAACAAATCCTATTAGAATAATTACAGAACGTTTTACAATTGAAATCTGATTGTGAAACCATGTAGTAATCATTCAGTCATCAGTAATAAAGATTTACACTCAATTATTTTTAGGCTACACAATGATACAATTTTGTATCTGTATTTTTAATTGATGGACTGCCGCCACTTTGTTCAACAGTAAAGTTGAAAAGTTTTGCAATAATTCCAACTAATTCATCCTGCTTGACTTAAGCTATAATTAACGTTGACAACATATGCATGTGTCAGGGGTTTTTAACACACTTCACAAGGAATGTTGCAGATTAACCAGTTTTTCTCTATAACTGCATTACCACCACTTTTAACTTTTGTACTGTAGCAATTGCAAGACATTTGGATTCCACTATTACCTCAAAGTACTAAATGAATAATGAAAAAATGGGTAATGTAAAATTAGTCATAAATACAGTCACGTTAAGATATTTAAAGTTATATTGTAAGAAATGAAATCACAAGGAAGATAAGTAAAGTTCAATTGTGACATATAAAATACAATTACTCTCAGATCATGATATCAGTGTAGAAATAATGTGAATCTTATTGAATGTTCTCATGGTTCAATCAAAATGAATTGGATTCCACTTATACTTTATTTCTTATTGGTAGTACGTGAATTGCATTGCATTTACATTTGTAAAAAAAATATATTGTTGGTTTAACTTAAAAAAAAAATAAGTAACCAGGTTGCCTTCAAATTTTAAGTTCATTGAAATAGAAAAAAAGAGTTAATATAATGGAGATGAATTTAATCACCAGCAACTCAAAATATCATGTTATCTGAACTACATAAATTATCTAAGTTGATTTGACAAAAGAAATGTTGTGATTACAAATCATGAAAATATTTTTTTTTTTTTACAGTGACCTTTAAGGACAGTGGTTTAAAAAGTATAATACGCTGCTTTATTTGAGGGTTTGATGGTGGAAGGTGGTAACAAAATCGTGAAACCAGCCTTTAAGTAACAATAAAATCATTCAATTTCTTTTTGTGACATATTTCTTTTAATATTATTTACAATGGAATTCAAAATGAGGATTTTTGCTGTAATATACAGTATATTTTTTTATCCTGAGAAATGTATCAAAAAATACTCTTAATGTACACTATTATATTAAACAAAAATGCTAATGCTTTTCATCAAAACTAGCATAACAAAAGTCAGTGCATACTCAGAAACTGCTGGTATCCATGACATTGAAGGTAACTCAGCTGCAGAGCCAGAGAAGGGTTAGAAGAATCTGCATAAGTTTCCATGTGGTTCTGATGACAGGTGACCCTCGTCCCATGTTGATATCCAGGTCCTCCACCATAGCAATCACTGCTTTGGTCCTCCCAGTGTCCCTGACTGTTGGTTGCACAGTGGTTGTAGTTTTGAGATGGTGTCGAGTTTGATGAGTCCTGATACATCTGTGTAGAGACTGTGAGCTCCGGCTGATGAGGAATGTAGTTATCCATCGGTTCCTGAAAAGTTCCTGTCTTCCCAGACAGGGAACTGTTCACTTCCGGCTGCCGGTAGCACTCCATATGGGTACACGGAGGTGCCCGTGGTTCTGTGGTTGAATGTGTCCTCAGATACAAAGACAAAGTTGAAATATGGTGGATGGCACGGCGGAGCGTGGAGATCTTGGACAGGCGCTTTCCGCTAAGATCATGTTTGAGGACAGTGCGCAATGCATTGAAGGCCTGGTTGTAGTCCAGGATGCGCTTCCGTTCTCGGACGTTGGCAGCGACTCTTCGGGCTTTGGACCTCTTTGGCCGAGTACGGCTCTTAACTGCTTTGACGTCCTCCGTGTCACTTGGGCCAGATGACATTGAGCGCTCTGAACGAAGCTTTCCGGGGCTTCCGTGGTCACAGTCGTCATCCTGACCCAAAGGACAATCTTCCATCTCATCCTCTGAAACTTCAGATTCTGTACTGGTGCTGCCCAAACTCATTGTTGTTGACTTTTGTCTACTTCAAAACACAGATCTTGGCTTTGGTATGAGAGATGAGAAGTCTTACGGTCCGTGTGAACTACAAACTGCTATTTTTGCAAAACATCCACATGTTGAAATCTTCTCCTCACCTACCAGTTCAGATCTGTCAGTCTCAGAGAGGGTGAGAGGGGTTTTTAAACGCAATCTGTAGATGTGTCACGTAAGCAAAGGTGTATTCTGTGTTTACAAGTGCCCTCCAGGCAAGCGTAGACATCAGTCAACAGGCTTTGACACACCTCCTCAACACACAGGATCTGATCTTTCCAACTGTACCATGCCGAAAACGAGGAATGACAATTGCAGAGTTGACAGATGCGGATAACTATGCGGTGCGTAAAAATGAGCCGTTTTATGTTTGGTTTTGACGCTTGGACAGTTAAGTATTGATATTGCATTGCATGATGATTCTTGCTTGTAAATATTATGGAAATATTATGGAAAAACAACTCTCAGAGGGATACACTCTTAAAAATAAAGGTTCTTTATTTGCATATCCCTGAAGAAACTTTAACATACTGATTTGCTTTCCATTGCACAAAAGGTTCTTTATATATAAAAAATCAAAATAAAAAGATATTTGGATTATTAAAATGTTATTCACACTTCACAGATAAAATATGGTTCTTTTCAAAAGGTTCTTTTGTAACCTTAAAGGAGTAGTTCACTTTAAAAAAAAACTTTTACTTATAATTTACTCACCCCCATGTCATCCGTCCATGTCTTTCTTTCTTCTGTCAAAAAGAAATTAAGGTTTTTGACAAAAACATTCCAGGATTTTCTCCATATAATGCACTTTACTGGGAACCAAACGGTTCAAGGTCCAAAAGACTGTTCAAGGGGCTTTAAACGATTCCAGAAGATGAATAAGAGTCTTATCAAGCGAAATGATCGCTCATTTAAAAAAAAAATAACAAAGTTTAAGTTTCATAAGCTCAAATGGTCGCCTTGCTATGTTCTGTGATGCGCGTTCGTGACTCTGATGTTCGAACTCGTTTATCAAAATGAACAAATCTTTTTTTGTGTCATTTGGTTCATTCAAAATGAACAAATTGACTTGGGAAAAGATAAACAAGTTCGAACAGGAGAGTCACGAACGCGCATCACAGAACAGAGCAAGGCGACCATTTGAGATTGTAAAACTTAAACTTGGTAAAAACAAATTTAAATTAGTTTTTATTATCCGTTAATAAAATATTAATGTATGACATTGGGGTGTGCAAATTAAGACAACATATTTGGGAGAACTACATCTTTAGGAAAAATGTTTCTAAAAAGAACAAGATGATAGTTTTTCAGTTTGCAACCAGTTACCATTTAAAAGTTCAAATCTAGAGAGAGTGTGTAGTTGTATGGATGAGCTTGAGAAAACCTGTCAAATAATTTGTTGACAGTTTTACAGATATTAAAAACAAAAGGACCCTAATACCCAACACAAAGAACCATTTCAGGATAAAAGAGTTCTTCAACAGAAAATGGTTCTAAATAGAACTACAATTACAAGTAAAAAACCTCTACAGAAGACAATGCGAATGTGCTGAGAAGCCTGTAGAATTCCCAATTCTGAACCATTCAAACAGTGATCATTCATAATCCATAAATGACACCAGAGTAAAAGAATTTCATTGCTAGTTTTCCTTCGCCTTTATCCAGATAAATCGTCTAAGCCGTGTCCTGGGTGTTGAGAGAAAAATGGGAACATTTATGACAAATTACAGCTTTATCAGATAAGCCTCTTTTACCAATTTGCCTTTACACCTCTTTTCTGCCAGAGGGATGGAAAAACACTTATCATGTGTCACATAAACTCTGTATCTCTGTATGGTCACAATTAGCTGTTGTGTATTAAGCGATTACTGGCCTTCCTGGGCTGCAACGAGGGACAGTGTAATTTGGTTGTCTGCAGAGCCATAAATCTGATGTGCGCTTCCTACGGGCAAGAACAGACAGTAGCCACCTCACTTCAAAGCTGGGGAAAAGGAACACAGATATTTTACAATTATTACCTGTGATGACTGTGAGTTAAGGGCTTTGGTGCCGTTGCCTTTTTATTCTCACTCACAAACGGCTTGTGTATCCCCTACTTGAACTCTCAGGTTTGTTCTGTTTGTACTGAAAGTGGAAAATATAGTGAAATTTTAACTAACTATCATTCAGTATATTGACCCATTTTAAAACCACCCAACTTTTTGATCCCTACCTTCTTTTTAGAGGTATTGACATTTTACTTTGCAGTCCCACGATTGCACAAATCAATACAGGTTTGCTGATAATTAACTATTACAAAATCACAATCAACCGAGGAAGCCAATTGACAGGCTGGTTATAATGGCAAAACGCCCCATCTTCTCTTGGGCTGTGCCTATTTTACCAACGCATTCTCATCCTTTAACATCATATAAAACGCTATATGCAAAAAACGGCGCTACTACGCACATGGCACCCGTTATCGTTATATAACACGCGCTGTGAGGGCTAAGTTTAGGTGTGGGGTAGGGTCTGCGTGTCATTTTCACGCTAAAGGATTTATGACGTCTTGGGTTCGCGTGTTATATTAACGATAAAGGGTGCAATGTGCGTAGTATAGCGCTGTTTTTGCATATAGCGTTCTATATGACGTTAAAGGATGAGAACGGGCTGATTTTACAGATAACAAGCCTCCAGTCAAACCAATGGCTCAAGAATGCCATCTCAGCTCAGATCATATCAGCAGTGGGTGGTGGTGCAATAACCTTTAAACAAGAAACAAGGCACCATTTCGGACATTGCTTCCTTCCTGTCCAGCTTTTACTGCCTATTATGACTTCAGCCATCTAGGTTTAGGGGTTGACAGTCATTTAACAAACACACAATATTTGTTTATAGCACAATATTAGCAGAACAATTACCTGTACCAATTCAAACATTCATCAAGACCAATCTTATTGCACCTTAATCTGCATTGTTAAATTGTAAAAATATTATACAAACCCTTAGTTGCTGAGAGGGGTTAGTCGTAAAACTGGTTTTGGCCAATAGATGTGTTGACTTGATGCCCCTTATGGGCGTGGGGTGTTTTCCAGATATGCAGTGAAAGGCAAATTGGTTTTTGTTAGTGGAAAATATAGTTGGTTAAGTAGGAATTACAACATCCTCTTCCTTTTCTTGTTGTGCAATTATAATCCAAAAAGCAGGTTTGTTTAAACACAGGGCTCTGTATTGTGTCATACTGCGTTTGCTCTATAATTTGAAATTAGTTGTAAAATCCCTCAACCTTTTCATTTTAATTATAGGCTGCTTTGGGATTTTACATTCGAACAGGAATAAAATCAATGACAATTTGGGTGTTGGACAGCTCTGTTGACCTGGTTGACATAAAAAGACTTTTGGGTAAAAAAAAAAACCAAGCCAGACAGAGGGAGCGTGGGAATGTCCGTGTAATTGTTTTTGGCGCTTTTTCTCAATGGTTATGTGAAAAAAAATTAGGGGTCATGAACACAGAAAGGAGAGACCGAAGTACTTCGTAATTAAGGGGTTTGTTTGCAAGGTTTGGAAACTAAAACACTGAAAATAACCGGATTTCTTTCTTTTGCAGGTAATACATGAAATAACAATTATTGACCTCTAAAATGCTTATTGAATTTAAAAAGTTACATTTTTCAACATTGACCACTTTTTCTCCTGATATCTAAACTGTCAGCCAGAAAGTCATTTATAAATGGAAACTGCTTTGAACTGTTGATGGTCGAGTCAAAGGTTAAAGAGCACCCTTGAGCTGAACACTCTACCTGAACTGCCCCTTAAAACAATAAGAATGGATTCCCAGCTCATCAAATCCATTATTACCAAAGCAGGTTGGGGTATATTCAGAACTGAATTGAGAATGCCTTTTAAATTGAATTAAGTTAGCAAAAAGGATACAGAATATAATTTAAACATACAATATATTACCTGTATTAACAGGTCTAAATGGTGGAATGAAAAAAAAAGCCCCGAAATTTAAAGGCTTAAAGACTTTATAAAGAGATCGATCAATACTTTTTACCCATCATCCGTTAAAGGGATAGTTCACTTTGAAATTAATTTTTGATATGTTTTAGCTTACGTCAAGGGCATCCAAGATGTATGTGTCTTTGTTTCCACAGTATTTTCAATTTTGATATTTTTAGGTCAAACCGTTCTTGTCTGTCAGTCATATAATGGAGGTTTATGGGGCCCACCCTGGGTTCACCTCAAAGAACATGCACAAGAGATTACAAGAGGTAAAAACTATATAAATACTGTTAGTTTTCTCACACAAACCGCTCATTTCTTGTCTTAGGCCATCAATGTGTACTTACATTTACGAGTCATTAAATCATGTTTAATTTGAACTTCTCTGTGCATGCTCTTTGAGGAGGACCCCATATACCTACAGTATATGACTGACAGACAAGAATGGTTTGACCTAAAAATATCAAAATTAAAAATACTGTGGAAACAAAGACACATACGTCTTGGATGACCTTGAGGTAAGCTAAAACATATCAAAAAATTAATTTCAAAGTGAACTATACCTTTAGGTTTACAGAATTTCCTTTAATCCTAAAACAGGACACAAACATAATGCAATGTGACATTCAAAATACGGGTGTTCAATTCAACTCAAGCAACAACAACAAAAAAACTCAAATTAAAAAAGGAGACCATATTTCAGTTTTGAATTTTTCACAACCGTGTAGTGAAGCAGTATTTTCACCAGTTCACAAAATAAGTATCCGTTTCATTTTCTCTACGACTTTGAATTTAAATTTAGTCAGTTTGTTCCACACAATCAACACTGTGTGATTCATTTGTAATGGAAACATTTGTGCACTTAAATCACATACTGCCCCTGATGTAGTCCAACACTTAAACACCAGTGATTTACAAGAATTGTTGGCAGATTAATTGTCTTGTACTGAGAACTTCAAGCATGCTCTTAAAACCCATCCTCATATTTTTTTTTTTTTTTTTTTTTTTTTTTTACGAATGGTTCGACACTAGTAATTATCAGTCGCCATGTATAAATCAAGGTCCTTTTAGATAGCCGTGCACATGCTGTGAGAACTAGAGACAGCT